AAAGAAACAAGTCGGACGTGAAAGGGTACCGCCAGGATGTGAAGCACAGAGCCTGAAAGTGTCGACCTTTCGACTTCGGCAACTTACTACTGTCCAGATGCTGTTTACTGCCCCCAGCAATTACAGAGTGACAATCTAATATTATACCATCTGATACGTGAAAAATCAGAGATTTCACTTGGAGGATAAGCTAAAGACAATAACATTTGCCGAAGGTCAAATACGTGGCCCAGAGGTCAGTGCTTTAGCCAAAGGCCACTGGATGCAGCAAGGATCACCACCGGTCAATGGCGTAATCTTTGATTAGTTCACAAACATATCTAAGAAAAGTCCACCAACACATCTAAAAAGCGACTTGGATAATCAAGTAGCCACTTATAGATACCGAGATGCCAACAAGTGACCACTATAAGTACCGAGTGTAACTAAAGGGGGCCACCAACGGTCACTGGCATTATCTGGCTTAGCCAGAAGTATTGTCAATGTGGTTTTGATACTACTGTGGCAAAAAGCGCTACTGATGTTTTACCCCCAAGAAACCAGCTTTCGATTTCTACTTCTTTCCCAAATGCTCCTAGAAATAACGAAGACTGGCCCCTCCCCATCATGATTTTTCAGGATTTTCAATTTTAAAAGGGGAAAAATTCAGGATACCTCTCTCTTCTTTACTCACTTTCTGCATAGATTTTTTGAAATCAGGAAAAGTTTTTATGAGCTAATTTTTTCATAATTCCTTGACGAGTTCGCGAATAAATTTTCATGAATTCATTACTGTTGGCGTTCGACCCTACTTTAGCCTTAGAAGTGAAGACGGAACCACTGGCTGCCTTACACAGCAGCAAATGGCTGCAAAATGCCATAGCAAAGGCCGATTACGGGTGCCTTAGCGTCCCATAAAGAATGAATTATGGAGGAAATTTTGAGGGAAAATGAGTTACAAAACAACCACATTTAGAAGCTAGAACTAATTAACAAATGGTGCACATAAGCCCTGGAGACAACGAGGATATCGGCCGGAGAAGGTAGCAGCAGCCCAAGATAGGATAGTGTGGCATAGCTACTGCTATTGATGGCCGAGTGGTTGCATCTCAGTAACATCATCAAGGATTTAGGGCGATATTCCGAATGATTTTGGTTGGAATGGAGGGACAGGGGAGGTAGGGAGGAGAGGAGGGGAGGAGTGGCGAAAGAGGGAGAACTGAAAAGATCGGGTCAAAACTTTTGCTATCAATCGAATTCCCATCGAAATTGAATGGTGCTCACGTACTGCTGAAAAAAAAAATCGCCAATGCCAAAGAAGAATCTGCTTGAACGGCTCTATGGAATTATGTGGATGAGAGAGGCCCAAAATAGAGAAGAATGGAGAAGTTGCTAGTTGC